ACTTGACACCATGGAAGGTTTTGATGCTAGCCTTTAAAAACCAGAGACTGGGTGGGTCACAGGAAGACGACTCAGAACCACACTGGAAGTTCGGGGCAGGAGAAGGGAAGAGAGGAGCATGCTTGCATAGCAGGGAGCCCAGTTTAGCTGTAGGACCAAACAAGTCAAAGCAAGCTGACCTGGATAGAGAGGGGCTCTCTGGTTAAGAAATCAAGCCATTAGCTGCAGCAGAAGGGTCCCCCAGACACCTCTAGAGGATTCAGAGACAAGACCAAAAATGCTGCAGAGTGATGAGGAAACTGAGTCAGCGAAATGTTGTTTTTTTTTTTTTTAACAGATCTATGCATTTCTTGTGCTAATAAAGAAGGAGCACTGGCAACACACCTATCATGTGCCTCTGACCAGTTAATTTATGGACCCAGAACACCCATGTGCCTGGAGATCTGGGAGAGTGTGTTTAAGCTACAGGAGAGTTGAGATATCAGCACTGGTCCCAGGGGTGAGGTAACTGGACGAGGAGGTTTCAGCTCAGGAGAGTGTGCTAAACAGAGGAGCTACGCACCAACTGTGTGCTCAGAGACCACACAACCAGGGAAGTGCCTCAACAGTTTGAACTCCAGAGGTGGAAAGTACATGGGATATAATGAGGGGTCCCTCACAGCATAAGTGACCAATAGGGGGTGCTTAACTAGATCCAGCACTTGGTACTGACAGTGATTTGGACCCACTCAGCTATTTCCTGTGGGCCAGACAGATGGCTATTTGGAAGTATGAATCCTGCAAGTCGACAGCCACCAACCAGTCCTGATCCTACACAGATGGAATGACAGAGGCAAGAGTTAGCATCCTGCATGAGAGGCAGCAGTGTATGTATTTTTTCAGTCTCCTCAAGTGTAGGATACGACTAAGACCTCTTTTCTTCAGGATAAGGAAATATCAAGAGTAGAAGCCTCATTCCCTGTATTCCTGCAATTTCTCTTCTATGGCTCCTAGACAAAGTAACAAGGCCATGTATATTTGTAGTAAACTCTATAATAAGCTCTCTGAAGAGGGCCAGGGAAGGTATCAGTCAACACTCAGGAGCAAGAGATATAGGGGGTTCTGCACGGGCATAACCTGGTTTGGTTGTGGGCATCAACACAAGTACTGGGGTCCTGAACCCTATGCTATTTCCATGAAGGTGGAGGACTTGGAGCTTCCATCCATGGAGAAGTGATGGTTTCTGTCCTTGTGGGATGGCCCCAAGTATTGTCTGGAGATGCATTTATGCTCCGTATGAAATTATGCCTCAGAAGGCGAGAAGCTGTCAGCATGGCATAGGTGTTGGCTGCGATGCTGAAGTTGCTAGCCCCAGTTTCAATAATGTCCTCTTCCCCGCCTTTCTATTTCTACCTGATCCCAGGAAATAGAGCTATCTATCTACATGATGGAGTGCTGGCCAAGGCAGACCTGAACCTCCATCTTGATGATGATTGTTTCCTCTAGGTCTGAAATGACCTGCATGGATTGCTCAAGCAAATGTAACTAGAACTGTGTGTCTCTGAACTTGTGGGTCTTGGAGGAAAACACTCAGCACACTCAACACCTGTTTGGAGTATGGCTGTCCTCTAGGCAGAAGATGCAATATCTATGTCAGTCAGTGAGGGGATGAAGCTATGGCCAGAGAGGCAGGGTATGAAAAATGGCTATTTAGATTCCATATTGGTGTGAAGCACCTCACACCTGCTGTACCAGGGGTGGGGTGGGAAGAGAGATGTCTTTTTTATTGGAATATCCAAATTAAAGAAAACAAGATTAAAAGGGTGAAGATCAATTCTCTTCACCAAACTAGTTGGGAAAAGGGTGAGTTTGACATTCAGTGAATGTAGTGGGTTGGACACTCACTGGGTTCAGCCCTGTTGCCACTGGCAGTAGTAGGGAACTGAGGGAGAACTGTGGCCGCACTGCCTTTTATGGCTTCACACAAGGAGGCACAGTGTGCATGCACAGCCCTGACAAACACTGCTATTCAAAAGAATCCAGTCTCTTGAACACAGACCCCTACCTTGGGCTTACAATGACACACAAACCACAAATTTCTGTACCTCTCCCCTTGGAGTCATTTTGAAGGAGTTTTATTTAGTATTTTAAGATTTAAAATGTTCCAATTCTAATTACTATTAAAAATGTTAATGTATGTTTTAAAATTTTAGTGAGACCTTCAATACTGTACAGCAATGAGGAGAAATACAGTCTCAGAATACAAGAGTCAGAAGTCTCATTTGTCTAGTATATCCTGTTTAATTATCTTGCAATTTACAGAGATGTTGCAAATGTAGCAAAACTAAAAATGGCGTTGAAATTAAACTGTTTTGTACTTACATTCCAATCAACTGTTGAAAAAAAAGGATGTCTCTTGATTTCTTCAACTCCATCTGAACCAGCTCCTGCAATTATAGGGAACAAAAGTGACTAAATTAAAACCAGCTTTGGTGTAAAAATCTCTATACAAAATTGCATTAAAAGTTAGTTACTTGGTTTCTTGGAAAATTGCATGGAATCACTTATTCATGGAATAGAGTTAGAGTTTCCAAGCAAGATATTTAACTGAGAACAGACTGGCATATAGCTAGTAGAATTCACACACATTGAAGAAAAACAATCATGTTTAAAGGGAACCTGGAAAAAGGAAAAAAGTGGACTTGTGCCTTGTTTGCCTCTTCTGAATATATAAAGGAGCCCTACTCACAGGGCATCCTTACATCTAGAAGTTTACAAAGAATCAGGAGTACTTCCCTGCAAGTCACTAATTAATTTAATATTAAACCTCCAAACAAGTAATTAGAGACGATGCTTGGGGGAGTATAACAGCATTTTCTAATCTGCTTCCTGATTTTTTGTTTTTACTCCAGAATTACAGCCTTTTGGATAGTCTGATAAGCCACTGTTCCATGCACCTGTGGAGGGCTGCCGGCAAAAACAGGAAAATGGGACAGTATACTAAGCCACAGAAAGGCATATTGAGGGAGCTCAAATAAGAGAAAGGCTATTTTTTTCTGAATGATGGCTTGCTGACATTGTCAGACTAACAGTACAAGCTACACTGCTGAGGGAAGTCAGCACAATATGTGGTAAAACCGTTTGGTAAAACACTAAGGCTATGATGCACATCCTATTGAAACTGGCTGGAATACAGATTCAGTGCACAGAATCTTTGGGTGACTAAGAAAAGATCAACTGGTTCCAATTCCTGAAAATTCAATTTATTTGGTGTATCCAAGCAGTTGGCAAGAGCCAACTCATATACTTCAAAGCTCCCCTTATAGACTGCATGGCAGCTGCTTAGGTGAACTGGAGCTCTGTAGAATGCTGCATCCAGAATCTAGGTGAATGACTGGTCCAAGAAAGTCATCTTCAGCCTACCTTCCTCTGTCATTTACTCAGGTGAGCCAAACCCAGAATAAACATACTTCAAACTCGAGAAAATATGATAAAATGAAGTCTGTTGAATAACCAAGAACTGATATGACTGTTCAATGAAGCTTCACTTAACAATTAAATTGTTCACAAGCTATGCTGTAGATGATTTTACTTCAAGATCCAGGTCAAAAAGAACCAACCAAAACAAGATCACATTACCTAATCGGTTTGATGGGTTCCTTTTAAACAACATCCTTAGAAGACTCTGCGCTTCAGGGCTAAGGAATTGTGGCATTCCAAGCTTTGCTCTGGAGAAAGAGAATGGAGAAATAATGACTTCAAAAAGCATGTTTTGCTAAAAACGCTCTAGATGGACTCATTAAACTAAGGGTAAGAAACTCTGCAATCAGATCTGTCAATGTGTGTCACAAAGGCAGTGAAATTGTGTGAACAAGATTTCAAATTGAATATAAATATTAAAATAGCTTAGCTACTTGTTCAAGAAACTTGTAGAAAAAAAGCACATACTGTGGTATAGTGGTTTTCAACAAATAGGCTGCTTCAAACTAAAGCTGCATAAAGTACTTAAAGTTGTGTATCCTTGAGGAGATCTAAGTCTATCCAAACATGCTGGCATATGACAAAAAGGAAGTATCCATCCTTTCCTATCAGAACCAACTTTTGAAGGCATTTGGAAATAGTCAAAACATCCCTGTAATCTACACACCCACACAACCCCACAAGTCACTTTTTTATTCCTCCACTCAGAAAAAGCCTCAAGAATTAGATCATAAAGTCATTAGAGAAAGCCAATGGGGTCAACTTCATGGAGATTATTTTGTAAGGACAAAACTTTAAAACAACTTAAGTGATTTGAACAACTTTTTTAATAATCAAAGTGTCTAGTTCAGCTTGAAATTTCTAGGCAGAATTGTAACATTATGTTATACATGCACATATTCATTATACTACAAATCCTGAAATAGGCGGTGAACTAATCAATTTTCTGTATCAACGCTGCTATACATTAATCACAGACACTACCTCCTGCCATGGAGTCAGGACTAAAACCCCTTTTCTTTAGCAATCATCCCCCTCAGAAAGTCCCAGAAGTCTAACCATTTGATCTGCAGGATACCCCTCTGACTACTCACAAAAGCAATAAAGTCGTACTCCCTCAATTAAAGAGTGGCAAAAGAGTACAGTTAGGACTTGTTTACCAATCACCACTGTACACTTGTTTTACTGTTTTTACAACATGGATTAAACTATTTTATACAGAAAGTGTGTGTATACACACCTATGTACACAGAGAGAATAGCATACACACAATCTGTATACACTAGGTTGTTTTGTTTTTATATAAGCTATGTTGTAACAAACAGCATATAGAAAGGTGGTTGGTAAATAACTAGTGTACTTTACTGCCCTATTTTTAATACTAACTTTACACACACACACACACACACACACACACACACTACAGTTTTAAGTCTTGGAGATATTCTCCAGTATCTACATTGTTTGTGATCAAATTCTTACTTTTGTGTTTGACATTTTATAACTTCACATCTTGCAAGTGAGCAAACTACAATACACAAGCTAAAGCATAATATCTATAGCTACATTTTCTGTTACTTTCAAAAAACAAGTGTAATTTTATTAAAAAAGAAAAATACTTACTTTAGTATCATATTCATAGTTTCATTTCGATCTTTACCTTGAAATGGTAGTGTACCAGTAAGCATTTCAAACTGAAAAGAACAAATGTTTAATCAACATCAAGAGGTTAGTTATTTTAAAAGTACTTTTACAAGATTTTAATTAACATGGTATTCCACTTGTACTACACACACTAAGACCTGAGAAGTCTTCAGGGTGATTAGCAAATACATACTAATTTTAATTTTTAAAATATCCAAAAGTTAAACATTTTCTCTTTGAAGGCAATTTACATGACAATCAATATCAACTGTAGATGGGATAAAAAGATGATGTAGAACACCTTGGAGGGTTTTGCAGACTAATGGTGGTTCATGGACCATAATTTAAAAGCTACTTGAGGAGTCAAATGGAACTCTCCCTGAAGTCATGTACTGCTACACCACAAAAAAGTAGCCAAAAAATGTGTTTGCCTTTATTTTTCCTCCTCAGTACAAATGCTAATAGTGTAACAATTTACTGTCTGCAACAGCACAAATATTAATATTACTGGTGTATTCCACTTTTCCACGATGTTCATTGAACAGGCTTGCTGTTACAAACATTTTTTAAAGGAATGCTTTGCCAAACTCAGTTTTTTTGTTTTTTTTTCTAATCTAAATACTAAGCAATGTGTCAAAGAAACATTCAAACTGAAGCCTAACAACAACCTAGGAAAGTGACTGAATAAAATTGTTCTGGACTGCTACAAAGTCACATATATGTCAATAATCCTTAGAGCAGGGATCGGCAACCTTTGGCACGCGGCTCTCCAGGGTAAGCACCCTGGTGGGCTGGGCCATTTTGTTGACCTGCCACGTCTGCAGGTTCGGCCGATCGTGGCTCCCATTGGCCACGGTTCGCCGCTCCAGGCCAATGGGGGCGGCGGGAAGCGATGGCCAGCACATCCCTCAGCCCGCGCTGCTTCCCGCCGCCCCCATTGGCAGTGGGAGCCGCGATCGGCCCAACCAGCAGACGCGGTAGGGAAACAAACCAGCCCGGCCCGCCAGAGTGCTTACCCTGGTGAGCCACGTGCCAAAGGTTGCCGATCCCTGCCTTAGAAGTATGCATTTCCTTAGAGGTCTAAACAAGTCAAGGTTCAACTTATTTCAAAACTATTGTTTCTTCAGTATAATCTAGTTACCAGCTTCTCCCAGGTCTTCCCCTTAACCTAAAGTCATTCTAATTCGGCTTAGGCAAGTTTATTCTAAATAAATTTAACATTACTCTGTGAAGGCATGCAGAGTATTTGACTGCAAACAACATTATGCAATTAATCATACAGTACCATAAGAACACCAAATGACCACCAATCGGCACTCTGGTTGTGGCCTCGCCTGTTTACTACTTCAGGTGCCATGTATTCTACAGTACCACAGAAAGAGTAGGCCTTCTTTTCTTGATCTACTGATTCTTTGCTGAGTCCGAAGTCTACAACAACAGCATTACAAAGATATATCTAGTAAAGAACTTTAAAAACAGTATTTTATATAATAATTTTATATTTTGGATTCAAACAACCAAAGACTGTTTATGAGTAAAGAAATGGTTATCCTAAAGCTCGCTGGAGAATGAAAGTTAAATAGTACATTACACAATCGATTGTACAGTGCCAGGAACATTTGAAAGTGAACTGAAAGTCTTAGCGACCATTGCTGTTGCTTAGTACATCTGCAATTAGGTATTTAAAACTTTACATATTTAGAAGCTTAAAATTATGAAAGGTTCTGCTTTTATTTTTCTTATTTGCTGAGACTTTGCTGCTTGTTTTATAGTATGGAAAAACTAGATTTAAGTAAGAATGTTTCATCCTAAAAACACCAAGTACTAAGGCCATGTCTACACTTTCAAGCTTGCAGCGGCACAGCTGTACCAATACAGATGTGCTGCTGTAAGAGCCCTCGTGTAGTCACGTTATGTCGAGGAGAGAGAGCTCTCCAGATAACATAATGAAACCAGCCCAACGAGTGGTGGCAGTTATGTCAGTAGAAGAGTATCTCCCACCGACACAGCGCTGTGCATATGGACACTTATACTGGCAAAACTTACGTCACTCAAAGGGGTGTTTTTTTCACATCACTGAGCGACAAAAGTCTTGCCGACATAACTGCTGGTGTAGACATGGCCTTAACTTACTGAAAACAGCTTATGTAAAAAATCAGACTTAAGGTATTTCTATACTTAAAATGCTACAGCGGCACAGTTACACCACTGCAGTGTAGACGCGCCAGTGTAGACACTGCCTCCGCTGACAGGAGAGATTCTCCCATCAGCAAATAGGTAATCCACCTCCCTGAGAGGCAGTAGCTAGGTCAAAAGAAGAATTCTTCTGTTGACCTACCACTGTCTACACCGGGGTTTACTACTCCAGATATACATAAACTAGCCAAAGTCAGACTTGTTTATATCAAGTACACCTCTCAGTTCTCCTTTCCATCGTAAGAAGGAAAACAGAATTTTGTAAGTGCTTGTTAATTCAAAAAGCTGCCTTACAAGCAGCTTCCAAATGCTGATGGGAAAGAAAAACCTCAACGAATTACAAGTTATTTTCCTTTGGACCCAAGTTGAAACTGAATTTAAGTATTGGTGTACCCTGCAAAACAATATAATCTTGTAACCCTGATTTTCTCACTACCCCCCACCCTCCCGAACCCACTTTTCCATTAGTCCCTGCACCGTGAAAGCCCCAAATGGCTAAGGTGTTTAAATGTGGTCTGGAAGGAGCAGTTAATCTAAATTAAATCCTTCAATTTAGATTTTTGGCATTTCAAGAGAAGCAGAAAGCAAGAGAAAACCACTCAGAAGCTGAAGGAGTCCAAGAGAATGGTATCCAAAAATCAATATTATTGTATAGGGATTCAAATCCCTGATGTTGCCTAAGAGTCTAAAGCAAGTCTGAAACAAAAACACATCCTGTTGTGCTTTTAAATAATGAATATCCAGTAATTCAGTGATCTAAGCAAAGCCCATTTGGCTAAAAGTTCTATCAGAAAGAATAAAAGATTACAAGTAAAACTATTGTGTATATACATTGCACTAAGTGGATGAGAGTTTAAATAATGAATTTCTTTTTAATCTTACAAGGTGGTTCTAATGGCTGTTAGTATTTATACAGCACAGCATATAGTGGAGTTTATGATATAATCAACGTGGTAATTTTATTATAATTTTAATATGGTAATATAATTTAAGAATAAACTAGTTCACAACACTTTGAACATATCCAAATGTTTATAATGCAAGTCTTGTTGGTTTTCTAAAAGAAAATAGCATAACTTTTTCTTGTAATACAGAATTTTTCTGCACCTTTATTTTTAAACTGATTAGACTATAATTTCTGAAATCACATTTTATATTTTTTTTAAAGAACATGTTGTCTGCACTAAATCTTTATCTTTCTTTTCTTAAAAGACCGAGTCAGCATATTGACATTTCAGCTTTGCTGAACCTCTACCTTGCTCAATTGCATTAGCTGTTGATCTTCAGATAAAGAGACATTTTATAATCAACCTTGCTATAACCTGAACAGTAGTTTATTTTGTTATTGATGAAGTGTCATCTGAATTTATTTACCTTGTTTATAAACTAGACATTGAAAGCTATTTCATATTTAAAAATAATTTCTACAACCACTTTACCCACAGAAATTAATCTTTACAGGTTTTTGGTTTTGATTTTAGGTTTAACACAAATACGATGGCTCCAATCCTGCCATCTAATCCACGTGGGCAGATTTCACTCATGTGGAGTCACACTAACTTCAATGGGATTCTGCACAGGCATAATAGTCTGCTAATGTAGATCAGATTGCACAATCTAGGGCTATATCAGTTAATTTAAAAAACTGTTAAATTAAGTACTGGTATATCAAGATTGTTATACAAGAAATTATATGGAACTCCACACTAAAATACCTAATTTCATTAAAATATTTAAGAGCTATACTATTAAATTTTACCTACCTGTTAACTTGATATGTCCTGCTTCATCAAGCAAAATGCTGAAAATTAAAATTCACATTCACCAATACACGTAACAGGAATATTTATATAAAACATTTTAAACATAGTAGCTAAAGACAGATCTGAACCAATCTCCCAATCTTTAATTTAATAACTCTGTACATTATATTTCAATCAATGCATATATTTAACTATTAAACCCAATACATATAGCTTATAAAAACATCTTTTACTCCATTTTTATATAATTATAGAGATGTATAATGAAAATGCAAAGAAACAATTAAACAAAATACATGTAATAGTGGATAAAATAAATTTTACTTTACTTTTCTGGCTTCAGATCCCTGTATACGATCCCCAAGCTGTGTAGATGATCCAAAGCAAGGGCCAGTTCTGCGAGGTAGAATTTCACATCTTCCTCTGTAAACATAACCTAATAAGAACTGTATAGATTTACCTTCAGATCTTGTCAGTTTCTAATACTGCAATCTAAAAACAGACAGTTCTTCTGCTTCCCTAAATTCAAATATTTCTCATAACTACTACATTTCACAAATTCTCAGGAGACAATTTCACTTAATACAGGTGATATGCAAGAATAAACTATCGACTATGAAGTTTTCTGTAGATCTAACCCTGACATTATTTTATAGTGTTCCTCACAATCCAGCTCTTACAGAATTTAAAGTAAAAATAAATGTTATTGCAACTGTAACATAGTATAGTTAAAGGAAAGTTAACTTTTGTATCTGACTTGCTGGTTTACCAGTGTTCATTCAGCCACAATGCCCTATACAGAGCATTTCCTATTCCTGTTTTTCCAGTTCAACATGTAGTTTGATATACTATTGCTTACAACAGTATAAAATATACAGGATGTGTAATTGTAACCTTAACATTTTATATTCCCATTTTATAGTTTTCAATTGAGTGCTGTTAACACTATTAAGACTTTTTTATTATTATTAATTTCCTTCTAGAAAAGGAACTGCCTGTTCCTAAAGTTAAATTCATACTTCACTGAAGTGAATGAGGTTGAAGAGTGGATAGAATCTGCACATCATTTACATGAACAGAGATGCATTCAAACCTTTTCTGCTCCCTTTTTTTGGAGGGCAGAGGGGAGGGGTTGAACATTTTGCTACAAGGTTGGGTTAAACAGCAACAGCACATCTTTACATTTTGATAGTTGTATTTTGTCAATGGGGGGAAAAAACGAGATCCAGGAATTTTCTTCTTTAGTTTGCCTGCCTCTCTCCCTTATCACTATAGCTTTTCATGTAAAAGACCTAAATATGATTTTTTCCCCAAATTAAATGTGGTAAAAGTCAATAAATTGCATTGTTTTATTTCTGAAGTGAAAGCTGCAGTAAAAGTGCTTTATTGGATAGATATCAGCCATTTTCTGCATTGCAGCGGAAAAAGTCCCATACATTAGAATTTTAAAGACCAAAATTAACACTTTAAATATCTCATCAACAGCTAAACATTCAAAAACAATTTCAGATATGCCTGATAATCCATGTGTGGGATGGTTTCAAGTGGCCCTAGGAACCTTCCCCCCCCTCCCCCCAATCAGCATGGGTCATTCGCTTTCCATTGCCATGTGCTATTGCAATAGAAAACAGTTGTTTTTAAAACTATTGTGTTTTCTTTATAGAAAACATCTCAGGTGTCTTAATATACAAAATGAAATGTTTAAAAAAAATCATGGTACTTTAGAAACAAACAATCTGAAGTTTGTTGAAAACCAAATATAAACTTGAGTAATAAGTGACCTCCAAATTAGTGCTTATTTCTTTACTCCCAAAAGAGAGATTTATGCCTTTTTCAGATACCCAGCCAATATTTTTACAGCCAGATTTGCACCTTTCATTTAAGTATCTATTTTTGAAGATCAGTAAATTCTAGCTGCACTATCACAACAAGACCTGAAGTCATTTCCTGTTATACTGAGATTTCTTAAGGGAGACATCTTAGATCAAATGGAAGTAGAGATTGACCACTTTCCTGCTTTATGCCTCATTAATTCTTAACAGGTCTGCTGACTCCTAGAAATAGACAACTCTCTCAATATTTTCATAGCACAGCCTCAGGATATTTATGTTGAGTTTAGTTGTGAAATACTGAGAGATCAAAATTGCAAGCTAATAAAAGGAGTTCAATGTAATTTTAGGGCATATACTAGGTAAGCTCACTTAGTTCCCTGCCCCATCCCCAATATGTAGCTTGACTTTAGGAAACAGATGCACTGAGAAAATCCAGCTAATTGGTTCTTAAAGATTAAAGATACTAATTGGAAACTACTACTGACAATCTATTTCACATCAAAGTCAGTCAGCCGGCTACTTTGCCCAATTTTAGACAATGTCCTCCGTTAGACATTATCAAAAGGAATGTCTTGAAATCATATGGAAGCAGATTTAAAATCTTGACTTGTGAAATTTATGAAGCACTAAAAACTCTCATTATGAAGATATTTTCAAAAGTTTAATTCAACACCTAGAATTTTTACAGAAAAGTTTTGAAAAACAGATTTCTTAGCTTGAAATATTACAAATATCATCATAGTCCGCATGCAATTTCACAGACTGAGATTTAAAGACATGTCATCAGAGCAGCACAATTAACATCCCTCCTCAAACAAACAATAGTGAGCTGTCAATCACGGTTGTGATTTCTCCAAAATTTAAAAAAGTATTTTACCTAGGAAAAAAATATTCCAGATTCAAGAAACTAAACACTAAAATGATGCAACAGACTCTCAGGGGCAGCAAAACTGACATCAGGCTCTAATCACACCTCTGTTCTTTATTATATAAACCTGATTTACCTCAATTAGGTCTCTGTGCAACAAGACCATTTTTAGATTAGAGAATTTGGTATGGGGAGGTACAGAAAAGAAATTTTAGACCATTATCAATAAAAATCTGACACTGATGTTTCTTAAGCTATGGAACATTGTCCCAAGGGATGGAAATATAAATAAATAAGTAAATAAAAAATGAAAGTTCAACTGAACTCCTAAAAACGAATGGGTCAAGAATTAGAGAAAAAGGCATAAGGAACAACCCCATATTGGTAGGGGGTTAGACAAAGATGATATTTTCCAGCTCTAATTTCTGTGCTTCTTTGAAAAATTTTTACTATTGTATTCAGTTAAAATGTAGGTACTTACCTCTTTGGATAATCGTGTGAATACATCTCCTCCCCTGAGAAAATCCAATATTAAATATAGCTTTCCTTCGGTCTGAAAGGCTGATTTTAAAACATCACAAAACTTAATGGACAGTTTTATATGACAATGGTGAAATTAGACAATACTCAGGCATTCTATAATACTTTTTTATGACTTATTTTAGTGTAATAGAGCACAGTTACTTCTGAACTAAGGTAATTCAATTAGGCATGACAGTTTCATATGAACTACTGAAATTTGTGAACTAATCTGAATAATTAACACCACATGAATGCTGCATCAAGATGTACTATATTCATTTATTTGAGAAATGTAATTTAGTTTTATTAATTTTGTTAATACTTTGTGCAGGGAAGTTTGAAAAAGGTAACCATTACTAATATACTGCAAAGTCTTCGTGACAAGAGATCTCACTACAGCACTGCCGCTCTACTACATCTTTGCTAAGCACGGGGGGACCCCCAATATTTGTACAATAATTATGTTTTTAATTATTGATATGGGAATTAATGAGGTTCTACTATAATAAAATTTGCCCACAAGTTGTTTAGGACCCAACATAACAATCTGAAAAATTAAGAGATTAGGAATTCAAACAAGTCACCCATGCACCACCACACCCACTGGTGTGCCAGTCTCCGTTTTTATATTGGATGAATGTTATTGTACCTAAATTATTGCAAAGTATTGGTTTTAAAAATGGAAAAGAAAAAAATCTGTGGGACATTTTGCAAAATTTGTAGAAAGTCTTTGGGGATCTTAATACTAGTACATGCATTCAAAAATTATTAAAGTATTATATGGCTGTGATGGGGTGTTGTATTCCTCATACTGGCTCTGAGAAGGTTGAATTAGGCCAGGCAGACCCAACCAACCAATTAAGCACCAAGTCATGAAGAGGAGGCTGTGGTTCCTGGAGTAAGAGGGGCCTGCAAGGTGAGAAAGGATGACTGATAGGGACACCGCCAGAGGAGGGCAGAGCTAATCCCCAAGACTGCCATGAGGAGGAGCCACTAGCAGTAAGTGGACCCCGTGGCAATGCCATAAGATTGAAAAATAAACAAGGGATCAGATTCTGTGTGACTTGCTCATATATACGTGCAGTGAATGGGAGAAGCACAAGAAGCCTCTTACTCCAACCCCTTGCACTGCCCATTAAAAGTCAAGTAATTACATTTTAAACTTAGTGATACATTTTAACGTACTCTTTAGCCTCTTGGGAAAAGCACTATCCTGATCTGAACTACACTGGAACAGATAAGCACGTACATATGAGAAATATTTCCCTAAGAGGTTTGCAATTCACCTCAAGATGTGTTCAAATCTTACAGAAGAAAACTCAGAGACAAAAGGCCTAAATGACAAGCCTCTACACCATGCATAGGCTGTCAATATAGAATGGACTGGGCAGATACTTTGACACAGAGTTAGATGTAGACCATAATAGTGAAAACTGAAATATGCTCGGTAATTATAAAAGGAATGTTTACATAAGTGAGGTATATTCAAACCTCTCAAGGCAGGAATACTGGTTCTGTTAAATTCTGCAGAGGTTAATGCTTCAGAAAGGCTGGATTGATGTTTATCTGTTAATGTCACTTTTTTCCAGCAAATGTGTTTTCCTTATTGTCCTTAGTTACATATTGGAAGGTAGAAATTCTAGTCATCTATGCCTAGCTTTCACATTATCTGTATCTGTTTACAATAACTGTTAACAAAAGTAAGGCAGAATAAGATTACATTTGACGTGCTTAATGAAAGCTAGGTTTTAGAGCAAATGCACTCCAACTATTAAGAAAGAGATGACTAATGCCCTTAACAGCTAATCCTGCCAAAAATATATAGGCAACAGAACAAAAATACCAACCATAGTGCAGTTTGACGATAAATGGATGATTTACTTCTACTAATATATCTCTCTCCATCTTTGTACGAACTCTATCCCGTACTGAAAAAAAGCAGAATAGTAATAAAGAATTCTCTATTTCAGTAAGGTGAAGGTAGGCTGGGAAGGAGTAAATAGTAAATTCTAAATTTCCAGAAAAATATAAAATAATCTTTATTTACCCTTTAAATCATTTCTTTTTATTTTGAGAGATTACATTTTCCCCTCCTACCTCTATATATTTTAGTCTTTCTAAATTCCGCAACAAATCCAGCTATATTTTGTGATCTAGCAAGTTTCTTTTCAAAAATTGTAAAAAAACTGGGGAAGGTTGGATAGGGTTTTGTTTTTTTTTAAGGCGGTGGGGGAAGAGGGCTTCAGCTAACTTCAACTTCTGGATTCTGCTCCCTGTGAATATGTATTGTCTATTAAGATCATATTTTGGATTTTCTACCAGTAACACTTCATGCCCAAATGTAACCCATAGTGGAGTAGAGTCCAGTGAAGTGTCTTCTAAAGACAGAAATACCTTATAATTTGGCTTACTTTGCTTTCCACAATAAAGAAGGGTTGACTCAAAACTTGACAAATGAACAGTTTTGACCAAATGAGAACCATGGAAAATACAGGAAAAATACAGGAAAACTATTGCTCTAATTCTCTTGCTGTAATAAAAAAAAATGCTAAATGGACTTACAGAAGGTTAATATCAAAAAAAAAAAATTGTAGTCATCTGGACAGGTTTGAAATAATTCTTAAGGCATGGCCTCAGAAAGGTTAATAAAAAAAACTGATGTCAAAGAAAGGATTATGACTTCACTGAAGGAACAGCTTGTTTAAGACAGAAGGCTATTTAATACAAAAATATTTACAATACTGGCTTCAACACAGGAAACAACAAAAGTATTTTCCAAGACCATTATAAAGAAAACACACTTACCTTTTAGAGAAGCTTTTTTCAATACTTTCATTGCATAAAGCTGCCCAGCATCAGGACCAATTATTTTCCTCACAAGAAATACCTGACCCAAAAAATATTTCATATTTCAAATTATTGCAAAAATTGTTATATATAACATTGATCTAGTTTGAACAATAAGTTATTACATCATGGTTTGTTTTAGTATGAGGAAAAGAGAACAGACTATGCACCAAATCATAGCCTCCATAGGAAAAAACTAAGATGATGGGGGTGGGAAAGAGAAAATCAGCAGGTTTTCACAGTACACCATCTTTTTGAGAAAGCAATTATTAAATCCAATAAGGGACAATGGGATCTTCTTTTGGTTGGGTGTAGGAAGGACCACTAGATACTAGGACACGCCTGTGCATGCAGAGCAACAAAAGTAATTGCACTCTCACCTCCCCAAGTAACCGGCACTTGTCAGTTTTTCTACAGAGATCAGCTTAAATTAATGCTTACAGAATGAATATTAACTTACATGCCATGTACCTGCATATTTTACACTAGTGTATTAGGAAAGGGCAGCATGTGAAACAGGTGTCCCTAGCTCTGTCTCCTTCCCTACAAATGCTATATAACCTCAAATAAATAGGGCTTCACATAAAGGTCTCTGAATCTGGAGTGTGAGAAGAAGGGAGTGGGGAAATACACCATTTAAGATCAAGGCTTTGCCACCACCTTGGAGGGTGGGTGTGGGGGAGAGGGGAGCGGGACAAGTACAGAAGTTTTACTACCATTTTGCCCCTCAGTGTGCTTAGATTTGGAGAGTATGATCTTGCAGAGTAACAAATGTGATTAGAAAAATCACGTGCTATGGATTATGTGCATTTCCATTATCCAAACGTCTGACTACGAGCTCTTCTAGCATAACTACTGAATTACCATTTCTAATACATTTCAATGAGCAAACATTTACTATATTATCATAACATTAAAGTCCAAACATAGGTTTAAGAGTATGCTAACAAAAATCTGAGATTCAAAAGTCTTTTCATTCTTATATTCTGTCCAGATTTTCAACACTAGAAACAAAAAAATTTATCACTCTGTTTATGGTTTTAACTAGAAGTGGTTAAATAAACGTATAATTAATCTAGTAAATAAAATCTTTTCCATTCCAAGATTCAAGATCCTTCTTCATCCCTTTCTATTGATTGAACTTCTTCCAACCCTGATATTCTATGATTCTATTCTAGGGTTTTTGGTTTTTTAACTCCAGAACAGAAGTGGTACATGGACTTTAAACCAGATTTGAAGAAAAAAATGGTTTGCAAAGGAATTAAATTGTTAATCCTAAAATGTGGCTAGCTACTTTAATTTTTAATTTATGCATTTCCAATTTTGTAGTGTTCATTTACTGTCCCAGACATCTGATATTTCATTTTCCGCAAGGAATGGGACAGGATAAAAGTAGGTTTCATAGTAAAAGAAAACACCAAACCCAATTTATCATTAGAAATGTAACACCACCAAACATTCAGTTAAGATGTTTTTACTTAATATTCTTTGTTTCAAATCACTTCAGATAAATACAGTACAATAAAAAGCATAAAAACAAAATAAAACACATTTCATGGGTTGAAAAAAGATGTGAAGTTTCTCTCGCTATATATCTACATATGCCTAATGAGAGATTTGGTATTCTTTCCTCCGGTTATAGCTGTTTACCAGTAAATACAAGTGTTCGCCTCTGAACAGCACAAGGAATTTTTTTAAAAATTCATATGAAATGACTGCATTTTAGAGCAGGAAAAAAAAATTTCCTAAAGACTTCCACACTAGCCCTTGCTGTTGTTGGAAGTCAGAGAACACTACAGCAGTATTTTGATAATTTTTTGCTATTAGACTAATGTAGGCAATACACCTACACAATTGCCAACAAAATCATAGTGGTTAAAATTAAAAGAGACCCCATGCTTAAATAAAAAAAGAAAGAAAAAAACCAAATAGAGGGGAAGTGCAACATAGCGGTCTTCCTCCCACTTCAGTCTTAGAAAAGTATCTGCAAATAACGAATGAAATCTCCAGAAGCTGGAGATTCATCTGGCTAGACATTGAAAACTGTTTACTTATCAGAATGCCCAGAGGCTGCAAAAAAAAAAAAAAATCAAATCCCTTGCTCTAATCAGCTACATACATCCAACCACTGCCTTACTTTGCCCCTCCACCCACTAAACCCTATAAGCCTCCAAGTTGACCTAGCTGCAGAGTCCAACAGTCTCTGTTAACCGCTCTGGATGCTCCATTCAAGTTTTCTTCAGAAAGCCAACAATGTATATGCATTTTGATTCCTATCCATATTATTGTGGTGCTTTAATAGCTTAACTGTTCATCCAAAGCTTTCATGTATCTAAGTAGTGATGAGCAAATGCACATCAAATAATCTATTCATTATGTAAATGGAAGATTGCAAAGATTCAGGAGAACTAGAGTCTTTTGATTTCACAAAGCCATCTGAGAAATAGGTCCTCCCCGTCTCACTTGCCCCTCAATCACCCACTTCATTTTCCATTCTTCTCCCTACCATGGGTCTACTGGCAAAGAACCCCCACCTGAAAGGTGGCATAGAATGCTTGGAAGGAGTACATGCAGTATGTGCTGCAGCAGCAGAGATTAGGCCTGTCTCCCCCTGCTGCTTCTTCCAGCTCCCTACCTCCTTACAGCCACTGCCAGAAAGGGCTGGTCTACACTGGGGGGGAGGTCTATGTAAGATACGCAACTTCAGCGACGGGAATAGCGTCGCTGAAGTCGACATATCTTATTTCGACTTACCTCGGGTCCTCACAGCACGGGATCGACAGCCGCGGCTCCCCCGTCGACTCCGCTACCACCGCTCACCCTGGCGGAGTTCCGGAGTCGACGGGAGTGCGTCTGGGGATCGATATATCACGTCTAGATGAATGCGATATATCGATCCGCGATAGATCGATTACTACCCGCTGATTCGGCGGGTAGTCTGGACGTACCCAAAGAGTGAAGGAGACAGTTTTGGGAGACATGAGGTCACATACAGGTGACGGCTGATAGACAGAATCATGACACCACAAAGAGGGGGAAGAAATAGAAGAAGGGAAATAGAAGGAAAGAAAATGGAGATGGCGAGGATGAAGAGAGTGGGGGAGAGAAAACAATGAACCACAGAACAAAAGAGACCTAATCAGAAGAAAACTGAGAGGATAGAGGAAAATATTGATATGTAAGTACACCTCTACCTCGATATAACGCTGTCCTCAGGAGCCAAAAAATCTTACCGCGTTATAGGTGAAACCGCGTTATATCGAACCTGCTTTGATCCACCGAAGTTTGCAGCCCCCGCCCCCCCCCCACGAACACTGCTTTACCGCGTTATATCCAAATTCGTGTTATCTCAGGTCGCATTATATCGGGGTAGAGGTGTAGTACTGAACATTAGGGAATATTAATCAGTGAAACAATAAAACCTAAAGACCACTGAAGGAAAGAAAGACATCACAATATGGACAGGGAGAGAGACAGAAAAGTTATACGTTCCTTTATTTTATAGAAAGACTGCTTTATTCAATCCTTTAATCTATGATTTCATGGTGGTTTGGCTGTTTCCAATAATACAAGATTTAGAAGTTCTCACAGATTTTGGCTGCAGAGGCTAACAACACTTCCCTGTAATTTTAACCCAGAAATTGACAGATCTAGAGTAAGAGCTTCTCACACCCAATCCATGCCTTTTACAGCTTCACTTCCCACCCTACAACAGGTCCCATCGCTGAACTAACTGTTCATTCACCCACTGAAACTTCATCCTTAAATCAACACTGGGCACATCCTTATCATGTGTGCATCAGAGTCCAAAATATGATTAAAAACTGCCAGGAATTTGAGGATAGAGAGACTTCATATCATAGGCATACCACTGAACTAACAACTCAACCAAATTAATGACTGTATGGTTATTTGCCCGTAAAACTAGTCCATTTTAATTTTCCCAAGTCAAATGAGATATACTCTAAATAGTTTTCTGCATTGCCAAGTTTCTCATGCAGTGCTTATAACTAACACATGAGAACATCTGAAAAAAGTTTTAATTCTTAGTTTTACATTTTTAATGCGAGTGCAACAGAAGTAAGTTTAACTTCAAAAATATTATTTTAAAAGCAGTTCTATATCTTTATATTTATTTTTCAATTAAATCAGGTACAAAGTTTTAAGGTCTTGAAGCTCTATTTGGATAAGAATTCAATTCTGCATTTTGAAAAAGTGACCTCACCCAGCCATCACTGAACGAGAACAACTAGAGCCTGGGGTTTTTCACAAAATGTAACACACAGTATAAAAACAATTAAAATGAAAAACTCACCCCAAAGCAGTGGCCCCTGAGTCTCCTGTCCCACAAGGTTGGGCCCAGCTCCCTGTTCCAGCCATTGCAACCTGGCACAGGGGACTGGAGCACCACTGAAGTTTGGCCCATCCGCGCCCCGCC